CAGGCTGAGTTAAGGCAGAGGGTGCTTCAGAGTAACATCTTCGGAGCGCATTTCACGGACACACTGAGCACGCTGACTAAGAGAAGACAGAGGAGAAAGGAAGCAAAGCAGAAAGCAAGAGAGGGGAGGACGGGGGAGGGAGGGAGGCAGGGGAGGACCAGGCGGATGAGGACAGTTCATTCAGCCAGTACTGTTTTCCTTGGGGACGCAGTCGCACCGTTTCCAAGGATGAGGGGACCCCGGTGCCCCTGCCTTGGGAGATGCGGCGCAGAGCAGACGTGGCCATGTGGGAGCCGGGCCTGGGGACAGGCTGGGCTCGCTGTGAGTTTCTGGTCCCCTCTCCACCCCGGGTATTTAAGAACGGGCATAGCAGACACTGGTCTTTTTCTGGTTAATCAGGCATTTCTCATGGATGCCGCCGGCTTTTATTCCACTGCGTTAGAGGCATGCCTGAGGTTCAGGGGACCAGCCGCAGCTGACTGGTGACCTAGGCGTATTCTTCTTTGGGTCCCAGCTGACCCATCACCTGGCCTTAGGGAAGCCACCTCTGTTTCTCTGCGTGGGACCAGTCAGTCTGCGACAGCAAGAGCCACGCCCCACCTCCGACTCTGGCGTCGGCGTGCAGCCCGTGAAGCCAGCAGGTGAGCACACCTTGTCCAGGAGGACGGCGGGTAAGGGCAGGGTGGCTGCCACCAGGGTCCCCAAGAGAAGGTGTGGCGTCAGCAGGACACACCTCTGTGCTCCTCCGCAGGGTCCCCACCCCACACCCCCCAGGACCCCAGGTTCTGCCGGGACCCGCGCTGGGCCACGGTCGGCAGGGAGGGGAAAGAAAACGGTGCTTCAAAGCAGAAGCCGCTGCTGCTTTGCTATTTTCGCACCAGGATAGACATTGATACGTTGAAATGGCCCCAAGTAGAATGTTAAAAGCAACCAGGGCTCAGATGCTAAATTTTTTAAAGACTACACATCTGAGCGTGGGCTAGAGGCGGTTACCCACGGGGCGCCTGCGCGCGCCCGGCGTCACGCAGGTCAGGTGGGCGAGGCAGGGGCTTTGCCAGGAGAAGTCGGCAGCTCGGTCCTCCTGGGCCCTTGTCGCGTGTTCACGCATCCCATCCAAGAGGTCGTTTTAGAGGAAGCAGAAATACTTCACCTACAAAATTAAATCACATTGAATTTTGAGAGTCAGACTTCACTGAGAGCGCGATTGCGAGCACAAGAGTCGCGCGCGGCCTCAGCCCCGCGGGGTCTCAGAGCGGTGGGGGCTCAGGCTTGCTAATGAGCGGCCCTGCAGTTTGGTCGGCTCTTCTGCAAAGTGAGTTAGAATCGGCCATGCTAGAAATCCACTTTTGCCCATAATCTGTGGCTTAAATTTCCATGTGTACTGCAATTCTGAGTCAAATTTTACAATGAATACGACATTGTCTTAGTACCTATGTCACATACATGTCGTTGCGCTGGATCATTGTCTGGTTGGAGATCACCTGGGTACCGTGCACATTTCATATGGAGGATATATGTATACACACTTTTATCCGTCATGCAACAAAAGCATCAGTAATACAAATGTTCCCCCAAATTATGTTTAAATTATGTTTAAATTTTCATAACTATTTAAATAAATATACATTTTTTAGAGCTGGAATTAAAGAACAAAACTGGTGTGCAAATACCATATTTTTTTCCTAATCTCTGTGACCATAATTAAGGCGAGGCAATTTACATACTAGTAATTTGCATGTATTTCACATTTAATTACATACAAATTACATTTACTTGTAATTTGCATTCTAGGAAGGGACTTTCAAAGCCGGCTTTAGTCACCTAATGTGCATAAGAAATGACTCCGAATGTAGTGATTTAATATAGCAATAGTCATCTGTCAGCTCCCGCACCATCTCTGGGTCAGGAATTCAGACAGGATGCGGTGGGGGGTGCTCAGCCCTGCTCTGTGAGGCCTGGAGGTCATCTGGAATGCTCCAAGCCCAGGACCTGGTGTCATCTGGGGACTCGTCCTCATGTGTGGGGGAGCTGCTTCTGGAGCAGGTGTCAGGAGCACCCCCATGTGACCCCTCATGGTGTCTGGGCTTCCACACAACCTGGTGGCTGGATTTCCAGGGCAGTCACACGGGGAAGGGTGGGGAGGGGGCCACACTGCTTTTCCTAACCTAGACTCAGAAGGGGACCAGCAACCCTTCCACCCGCTGCAGACGCAGTATTCACAGAGCGTGCTCTCCCATCAGTATTTCTACTTCGTATTGTGCCAAATAGATATGTAAGTTTTTACTAAAGGATCCCCGCCTCCACATCCTCTTCCTTTTCAGGGGCTTGAGAGGCCGGCGGTGGGGACAGCAAGGCCCCTCCCTCCGGCTGGGCTGCACGGAGCAGGGGTGCCCTATTTCCGGGCCTGTCCCCCCCACTTCTGTGTCTCATCTGACCAAACACATGAGGACGTGCCGTTTCCTCCCGCGCGACCGGAGGGCTGGCTGTGAATGTGCTGGCGCCACACCTCTCTTTTTTCTGTACCTATTTTTCAACACAAGCATTTTATCAACTGGTGGTTGAATGTGCCTCAGTTTCTTGGTCTCTGTACGATTATCATTGCTAGAATTTCAAAGGAGCGACAGCTTTCCTGCCAGTCTACATAACTTAGGTTGACAAACGTGTGACAAATGTGTCAGATAGAAACGATGGGGATGTGTCGCCAAGTAATTCAGTTGATCCTGTACGTGACGATGCTTTGCGTCTGGAAAATATGGTTGTGTAAACAAGACAAGTGTTCCTTCCTACAGTTATAAACATTAATATTCTACCCTCCTAAAAAAATGCTTAGTGTGACAGTGACTCAACTCAAAAAACTAGCATGATGACCAAAAATTGTAAAAAACTTTCTGTCCATAAAAAAACATAAAACCCACACCAGGGGAGGACAGGAGAGCAAGGAAGTTACTGGAGCCCAAGACGTGACGCTCAGCCCGGTCTGGGCTCTGAGAGGATGTGCTGCCTCCATCCTTGCACATCTTTGTTATAAACCATGCATTTTGGTCACTTGAGCAGACAGCCAGCACAGCTCCAGCTGTTGCTTGAGGAAGACTTGACGTCAACCCTGCTGCCATCTCGTCTGACAGAGCTGAGGAGAGAGCAGGACTGACCCACGACCCCCCGCAGCCCAGTGCATCACCAAGAGCATCGTTTCTCATGGGAGAGCAAGTGAAGCGGAGGAGGACCTGTCTCACACAGTGCACCAAAAGGAGGGAGTTAGGACGGACGGAGGCAGTCAGCTCTTCTGGATTTCCTGGGGACAGTGCCTCCCTGGCAAGGAAAACCAACATGTGGATGTGTTTACCCGTATTGAGCAGTATCTACTGAGGATCAGCTGTGAGCCAAGCCCTGGTCGCCCAGTTCTAGGTTCTGTGGGTCCAATGGCCAGTGAGGCAGGGTAGGCACGTCTGCCGCCCACCCCCAGATCGTTTCTCCCCCTCCTCAAGCCCACACAGCCTTGGAGCTGCGTGTGACCCTGTGGCATGTTCCGTAAGCGAAGTATGAGCGGGAGTAACTGGTGTCAGTTCTGGCGGGGCTGTAAGATCTAGTGCCTCGTTCCTCCTTTGACTCCCTCCAGGGTCTTGCCTGTGCCTCCTGGTGGCGCAGCAGGAAGTGGTGGGGCACCTCTCGGGCTGACCCCTACACCCTGGAACGTGGCCTGGGGCTCTGGAACTGCCCAGGCCCCCATGGACTTCTCATGAGCCAAAGGCCAAGGCCTGTGGGGCCCAGCGTGGCTCCTCTGGCGGTTTGTGTGCAGCGCTGCCTGGACCATCTGAGGGATGAGGTCACCAGCCCTGCGGGCCTCTGTCCTCATGAGACAGACAAGCCAGCCCAACATGGTGTCATTTCAAGTGGAGAGAACACCGTGAAGGAAGGAGAAGTGAGGACAGAGTGAGCGAGGCTGAGTCACGGAGATCAGGTGTTTAGGGAAGTTTCCGGGGAAGAGATCAGGTATCTGAGACAGAACAAAGCAGGTGCTTCATGGAAAAGCTGAGTAAGGAGCATTCCGGGAAAGGAGAGGGCGGGCGCGGCTTCCCACACATCCCCAGAGTCCAGGCGAGCTTGGCCTAGTGCAGGAGCAGCAGGACCAGCGGGGAGCCAAGTGCGTCCTGAGCGCAGATGAGATGAGCAGTCCGGGCGGCAGGCAGCCCGGGTCACGTGGGGCCCTGCTGGTCAGGTAGCACGGAGGTCCACGTGATTCCATGTTCAACAAAAGCCGCGGCAGGTTGCTGAGCAGGGGCGGGATATGACCCAATTTATATTGCAAAAGCATCGATTTGACAGCAAGAAACTTTAAACAGGGTGTTGAGGATTAAAAACCTTGTGGGGTGAGTTCAAGAGAGCCTGAGCGTGATTGGGTGGGAGGCATTGCAGTTGACGTCAGTCCAATACTTCGGGAAACTGTTTAACGGTGTCTTTAAAAGTTAGAAATACCTCCATCTCGTCACCCAGCTGTTCTGTTCCTAGACATTCACCCAACAGAGATAAAACCCTGTGCCCCGCAAATACTTGTACACAAATGTTTGCAGCAAGTTTATTTGTGTTCGAGTTGAACCAGAAACGGCCCAAATGCCCGTCAGCAAGGTGAACAAACGTGGATGTATCCGTACAATGGGATGCTCCTCACCAGTGACAAGGAATAAAGTCCATATACACGCAGCCAGGTGAGTGACCCCCAGCATCGTTTTGCTGAGCAGAAGGAGCCAGACATGAAGGAGTAAAGAAGGCACGTTTATGCAAAACTCTATCAAGGCGAGCCAGTCTGCAGTGTCAGAAACAAGATGGATCGTTATCTGGGATAAAAGGGGGAGGAGATGGCAAAGAAAGGTGAGGAAGCTAGGACTGCAGACTCTCCAGTGGGTGCGCGTTGGTACCTCACAGTGGCTTTACTTTGCGTTTCCCTGGTGACTGGTAACACTGAGCATCTTTTCACGTACCTGTTGGCCATCTGTACATCTTCTTCTGTAAAGTGTCCTTCAAATCTTCCGGTGTTTTAATTAGTTGTCTTATCTTCTTAATACTGAGGTAGAATCAGCTTATTATCTATTAATAGCATATACGTGTACACAAATATGTATTTTAAAAAAAAAATTTCCAGAGTTACCTTGCAATGTCGCCTGCATCTTCCTGATCCTTGCTAAGTAATTAAATTCTCAAGCCTTAGAGATTGTTCCTGTGTCAATAAACTCTTCCTTATCCCCTGACCCACTTGTATGGTATATATTTTTTAATTGAAAGCTTTCTTTGTACACGTGGCTCCTCATGCGTGGTCACGAAGAATCATCTTTTAGATGCACCTTGATTTTACCTGTTGTTGTTGTAAGTACAGCTTTAATACATGAGCGTAAATCGAGGCACTTGGATGAGTCTGAGTTTTGAGTGTGTGTGTGTGCACCTGGGCGGTATTTTCATCACATTTCAATACTGTACTTCTGTTGACTTTGTTAAAAAAAAAAAAGAAGTCTTTTCAAAGCTCTGGAAAGGTTTATATAGCAGCAGCAGGAACCCTGAAGTTTGGAAGGGATTCCCAGTGAAAGTGCTGGGACCAGGCACTCTTTTCGAGGGGTAGCACTCTTCATAGAGAAAGTGTGGGACTTGCGGGTCTGCACGATGAGATAATGCCGGGGAAGCCCGGAGCACCTCAGAGGCTGAGGGCGAACATTGGTTTCAAAGTGTCACAATGTCCAGAGATTCCCCCATCCTAGGAGTTACACTTTGCCCTGCCAATAATCTGGAAAGACGGGACGTCTACAAGAACGCCCCATCACCGGCCCTTACGCCAGTCTGAGTGTCCGTGTTCCTCGAGAACGCTGCAGGCTGGGAAGGCTGTGGCGGGGCCTGCCAGCGCTGACAGGCGCCCTTTGTTCCGTGCCCCCGTCTCCAGGCAGAGCATCGTTAGGCTTAAGCAGAACACAGAGTGAAACTGCAGCTGGCTTGCTTTTCACTGTGTTTCTGGACTCAGTCATCCCCTGGGGTTTTCGCTCACAGCACCCTTGCTTCGCCTCTTTCTAGGTTATGGGTGCCTCATATTCACGGTCCTTCCTCTTACCCTTGTCACTGAGCGTTTCTCATGACTAAAGCCAGACTTCTTTGCTTGGTGCAGAAAAGCCCACGGGGCCACTCAAGTGCCAGCGTCGCGGGCAAAGCTCTCCGCCTCTCCTATCAACTTTATTGGTATCATTTGCTCAAAATAGACCCAGACCTAGTGAACAGAGGAGCTGAATTAGCCGCTGACATCATTAGCACACACGCTCCCGCACAGCTCATGCCTTCTACAAAGAAACCGTTGGGTCATTAACCTGTGATCCAGAATAAGCTTTAGTGACCTCAGACAGGAAATAATTCCAGCATTCAACACCGCGAGTGACTTCGCTGACTCTCTTATTTATAGTACAAGGGACAAGCGTGCGGCCTGCCTGGCGTAACCGAAAACACTTTCCCATTGGTCTTACTCATCAACATGCTATTAAAAATCTTTGTTAGATTATTATTAGCTTGTTCAAGCGTCGCCAGGCCTTACCAACTCCAGAATTAACATTTCACCTAAGCGTAGTCAAATGCGGGGTTTTTTTCTTTGTAATGAACAATCATGTTCCAGGTGCCCTGTGAATCTATGGTAAACAAATTAATCTCTATCTAACACTGTTAATTGGAACAGTATTTAGACCCGTGTCTTCCCGACACTCTTGGGGCCATGACTGTCTCGTAGACTCTCAGGTTGACACAAAAAGCTATCAGCTCACATGCCTTTGTGAGTAGAATTTCTGACCAAAATTTACACATTGTAATTCTAAAGGTGGTTGTTGTTGTTGTTATTATTATTATTATTATTATTATTATTATTATTATTATTGTTTTGGCCATCAGAAAACCCTGTGATTTTCAGCGTGCGCCTTGGGAAAACCACAGGACGCCCTACCCAAGCGTCGGCCTCAGTAACTCTACACGGTGAGGACAGTTTCAGGGCCCCACAGATTTACAGCCAAATGAAGCCACTTTCATTAAAAAATCACATGTAACACCTGAATCCCACGCTGGGACGCTCCAGGCTGCTCGTCTGACTCACTGGCACAAAGTCACAGTTTACCTGGGGCAACGATTGTCCTGAAGGGAAAATCACAAATCAACTTCTCTGTGAGGAAGGCTTCTCAGTGACCTGCCGGAGGAAAGTTCTGTATGGACAGGGCGTCTCTGCAAAGACATGGCGTTCACAGGCCGTCTATTAACAGGAGGAGGCTGAAGGCTCCAAAGCATCCTTTTTTGCATCAGTTAACGAGTCTGGACTGGAAAGCTGTGGACACAAGCAGATAAACCCGAAGCAAAGCAGAAACACGCAGAAGTCCTTGGCAGGGCTGACTGCATACTTGCAAGGCTGTGGATGAAGTCCTCAGAGCACGACTGAAGTTAACGTGAAATAAATGGATTGTTTGGTGCAGGCGCTTGGCAAGAGAAGGGAACGCACAAAAGAACAGCCTGGGAATTATTACTGAAATACGGAAAGGCTGGGGCGTTTTGCCAGCTTTCCAGTGACTTAACAGGCTGTGACGTTTATAGAAAGCATAGTATGTCCTATGCTTCTAAATTTATAACAAAAACATCAACAAGACTGGCCAGATAGAATTTGTATTCTGGCTGCGGCAGCTCTTCACTAGGAAATATTAGCATGTATGTACGGAAAACAAAATGCACTTGGCTCATTTTAAAGTTGCATTTTCTTTTTCAGTTAGGACTTTTATTTACATTGATCTGCAGGTAGAAAATGGCTCTATTTCGTCTCATGTGTGTTTCTAATTACCGTGCAGATTTTGGAACCAGGGACTCAGACCTCGCTCCCTGGTTGCCCTTCCCTCCCCCCTCTCCCCGCTGCTTCCTTCCATCCCTCCCTCCCTCCTTCCTTCTTGGGTTCCGTCAGCCAGCCTGCCCCATGGAACCGAGCACCCAGCACGAGTTAGTGATTCCCCGGTGAGTGCACTGAACTATTCAATGGAACTAATGCTACCTGACAACGCTCGGACACCCAACAATGTTTAAGTGTGTATCTAATGAAAATCACTTATAATAGAGAAATGGGGTTCCCAGGATGTCTACCAAGAAACACGTTATTAAGCATGACTCCTAGCCAGTAGTCTCCGAGACAGCCCCCCAAGACAAAGCAAAAGACGGCAAAGCACACAGCACTTGTGACACAGATCTTAGAAAACTCTGTCCCCAGGGCCCTAATCTGATGCACTGAAATGAGCATCTTACACATGTTTTCTTTCCTGCCCCAAACAGAGCCAACTGCCAGACAGACAGCGATACGGAGACACTTCTCCCTCCTCCCCTCTACTCCCTGCTCAGGGAACAGAAAACTTGGCAGCCAACCCTCAGCTAGACATGGGTGCTGTTCTGAAGCGGCTGTGTGGTGCAGCTCCCTCTAACCAACACAACACCACAGTCCCCATTTTTCTTACTCTCACTACATCTGCATGAAAAGAAGAAAAATGAAGGGACATCGAGGTTCAGGAGACAGGGAATTCTGGGCAGTGCAGCTCCGATGAGAAAGTATTTCTGAAAGAGGAAGAGCCGCGTCGGGGACGAGCCTGGGGAGACCTGTGTGCACCTCGTCGATCCAGAGCATCCAAGGGCCGGCGAGGCCCTGAGCGCACGCGCCCTCCGGACCGCACGGCCTGAAGCCCAGCCGCCTCCGTCAGTCTCCGCTGCGCCCCCTCGTCCATCCGAGGGCGTCTGTCCCCACATGGGGCCTGGGCACGCCGGCGTGGGCCCTCGGTCCGCCTGTCTTTGGCCAGCGTTGGGCCTGACTCATCTCTCTTCAGGATGAGTAAATGCACAGGTGCCCCGACACAGAGGACACAGGGACGACCCAGCAGGTAAGGGAGGTGGAAGTTGCCAACTAAGCACTGGCACTCGCCGTTTGCCTCTACGAGGACTGGGTCACGGTGGCACTTGCCATCTACCCTGCTTGGAGTAGATCATGAACCGCGACAGCCGCTGACCTCCACACTCCCTGAGAGGAGTTCGAGGTGGATATCAAACACGGGGTGCTCTGTGTTCTGGGAAAACTGGCAGAACAGGCCTTCAGGTAATTAGATACTTTGAGGAGAAGATTTTATGAGCCCTAATTCTTGAGTCTCCTCATATCTAGAAAAGCACCAAAATCATTAACGGTGACATCTGCTCCTGGTGACTAGCAGCAGCCTCTGCACGTCCCCCTTCACTGAAATGATGTGTAATACTGGGTCTTCCCCCTGCTCTTCAGAGACGCTCCTCAGAGCTCTCTGAGATGCTGTCTCCCGGGCTGTAGTCCTCATTTTGACCCAAATAAAACTTAACCCACGGCTCTCACGTTGTGTGATTTTATTTAGGGCCGCAAAATCATCCCCTAAGCTGTCAGGGCCAGGAGAGGCCTCTGAAAATTGACAACACCTAGAACAATGCCTTTTTTTAAAACTGAAGTGCAGCTGATTTACAACATTGTGTTATTTTCTGAAGTATGTCATAGTGATTCAATTATATGCACAAGAACGTGTATTACGCTTTTTCACATTCTTTACCACTGTAAGTTATTACAAGATACTGACCACAGTTCCCTGCGCTGTGCAGTAGGACCTTGTTGTTTACCTATTTTGTACACAGTAGTTGTACCTGCTCATCCCAGACTCCCAATTTGTCCCTCCTTCCCTCTGCCTCCAGCCCAGGTCACCCTAAGTTTGTTTTTATGTCTGAGAGTCTGTCTCCACCTAGATTATCTGACGACCTTAATGGGATTCAACAAAGATCTCCAGGAAGCCAAAGGAAAAATCCATAAAACTTACAAGAAAGGGGACATGGATGAGAAAGTGAAAAATTAAAATACTTCAAGTGCAATAAAGCCAACAAATCAGTGTGGGGAAGAGTAGATGGTGGCAATTGGTACGGTCAAAAATAACTCAGCGCTGTGGGGTGAGCTGGAAGATCTCCTCCAGAACGCAGAGGGGAAGGGCAAGGCGAGGAGGAATAACAAAGACACTGCTTTTGCACAGAATGGAGAGTGCACGCATGACTGATGGAGATGACGTAAAGATGCACATTGAAACACACAGAGAAAATCAAGGAAATAAACATCTGGAACCACGGCATTTTTATTGCAATCAGAAGGGAAATTGCCACAAGCACAGAGGCCATAAATGAGCTCTTAGAAACAAACATCACACTGCCCTCAGGTGTCCCAAAAGCCCAGTGACATGTTAGACAACCACAGGGGCGTGATGCACTGTGTGATAGTGAAGATGGGAGAGATAAAACATGGGCAAAAAATTAGACAGATACAAAGGAAAAAGCAGAGCACTGGTATAGTTTAACGTAATTTTAGGATATGCAAGAACAAAATTAAATGGGGCTGGCGTTATGAAATGTTGATAAAGGGGATAATCCAAATGGAAAACAGAAAGATCTATGAACCCTAATGTATCAAAAAATATAGTATCAGAAACTTAAATTAAGATCTGTTAGAGAGGTCACGTAATGATAAATATTATTTCTGTAGGACTCTACAGCATAAGCCACGTGCTCTGAATGTTTGCAACCCAGATATTAAAGAAACACCCCACGTGACCCCAGTGAGGTACATGCAGATAGTTGGTTACAGCAGTGCTTGTAATAGAAAGGTAGAGAAGTAATATAAATAGTCCTCAGAAGAATTATTAGAAGTAGTGGAAAAAATATTAGATTATGATGATCATTCAGTCAAATAGATTTTTTTCCTATGGAAAAGCTGAATTAAGAACAAATGGGGAATATGCTATTTGTTTAACAGAAGAAGTGAAAGAAAACGAAAGAAAGAAAATGAAAGAAAGGAAGGAAGGAAGGAAGGAAGGAAGGAAGGAAGGAAGGAAGGAAGAAAGAAAGAAA